AGAAATAAACAATTATACGTAACACGACCATGGGATAGTGAAACAACATTTATAAATCTTCCTAATAAATTATGTCAATTATTAAATATTCATGGATTTGAAGATAAATTTAGATTTTTATTAAAAGGAACAATTGAAGAGATTAAACAACATTTTACAAATAATTCAATTGAAATACCAACCAACAAAGACATCATTATTTTAGAGCCATTGTCAAGTTCTAGTAAGTATCAGATAAATATATTGCAATCATAAGTCATATTAATCAACTGTTTCATTTGATTTATATGTAGATGTCTTAAAACAATCAAAAACGTGTGCAACATCCTCATTGAATTCAAACAAGTCTACTCCTTGCATAACAAATAAAGAAACGAATACTAACAAATCTGAAATTACTACAGAAATATTGACCACTTATTCAAAAACTCAAAATAATAATAATAGTACTCCTATGAGCTCACAACAACAATACCCAGTTTTTCTACAGCAACCTCAATTTTCATTTTATGGTAATTACATTTTAATAAAAACTAATATCAAACTTATTTTAGATAAGAGTAAGGTAGCTTTTTCAGTCACATTCATGTTTTACTCACTTATGAAAATAGAATAGTATTCGAGTATAATTTCTAAAAGTGGTGCCAGGAGCAAAGCCTAATGTTAGAGTTCAAAAAAAAAATTAGATTCCAAATCAAATCGTCTCTGTGTATAATATCTACGAACTTTCGCAACTATGTTCATACATCATTTGTAATCTTCAGAGTTCTTTCACGATATATTACCTACACTTTTTGACTTTTAACTTGAACAATATGTGAGTAAACGTGTTAATCATGCTTTCGGTATTTCTTTAAAAATATCTATTGAAATTTCTTTTTTACTATATGTTCAATTCAAGTACCGATTCAACTGATGAATCCACCAACAGATCTATTTGAAAGAACATTACCATCCATTTTTGTTCCATCAGAAGACGAACAAATTGATAATATTGAATTAATAGATGCATCATCAATAACATCATCAAATGGCGTATTGTTGGAACATCTATCTCACGGAACAGGAGGATTTGAAGATTTAGATTTAGATATTGGACATATCGGTGAAAAAATGGTATATCAATATCTGTTGAATAAACATCGTGATCATTCAAATTTAATTACTATCAAATGGTTAAATCAAAATCGAGAAACTCATTTACCTTATGATATTTTATTAACTAAAAATGGCAAAACTCATTACATTGAAGTAAAATCAACACGAATAGATAATCAACATATATTTCCAATATCAATTAATCAAATTGAAACTTGTCTAAAGCAGAGAGAAAATTATTTTATTTATCGAGTTTATATAAGCAAGAAAAAGTTTACCATTTTAGATAATATTCCATGGCGTTTAATGCAAAAACAATTGACTTGTTTTTTAAGAATTCTACCAAGTTCACCAGAATAAACTCTATCAGCAGATGATTAAAATATAAATACTAAATAAAGCTTGTCTGTTTTTTTTTGTACTTCGATTCGTAGATTCTTTAGTATCACCTTTATTCATAAAATGAATAATTTGTTTAAATAAAAAAAAACAATTTTTTCATTAATCAGACGACTTATGAGATTAAGTTTGCAAAACATAATTCAAAGATTACAAAAATTGTTGGAGACATTCCTAATAACTAAAATAAAGTCTCCTTATACAATCTTTTTATTCTTATCACAATTCAAAACTTCTAACACATAGGCAAATACTTAGAGGGTGTGGGTGTGGGTGTGGGTGTGGGTGTGGGTGTGGGTGTGGGTGTGGGGTGTGGAAGGGGGGAGGGGTGAGGATGTGCGTGTGGGCGTAGATATTCTCTTCATTCACACCCACACCCATACCCACATCCTCATCTGCCAGTTGGTATCTGAGATCAAGTCAATTGTGTTTGAGAAAGAAATCTATTGAAATTGTTCATATCAAAGTTTAATCGAACGATTGCAACCGAAACCTTGCCATGATGAATTGATGTGCACTAACAAATTAGTCAAGATTGATCAGTCAAAAGAAACAAATTATGGTGATCCATTTCTGATGAACAAATTCGAACAAAATCGATGAGAATTCTCTTAAGATCAAATTAGAATCGTCTGTTCACTGATTAGTTCAGAGAATCACATCAAATACTTCACCGTATGCAAGTCGACTTTGTTCCAAGGCTAAAAAATAACTTAGTGCTTATACCTTGGTAACTATCGCATATAGAACATGATTTTTCTTGAGAATATATTCGTATGTCACTTTGGCTAAATCGATATGCATCATTAGTGCTGATTGTTGTAAAAATGACAGTTCGCTGTCGATTTAATGTTTTTATTGAATAATAGTGCAGGATTTGAGTGCGATCAGTAGGACAAAAAAGAGAAAAAGAACATAGGTGACAGATCAACAAAACAAATCTAATAATGTATGGATATTTGGTTTTTATTGTTGTTCCTTGTATGTCACTATTATCAATAGTGTGAAAAACAATATCTGAGAAGTGAAGAGAAAGATATCTAACTAAGTACCTAATTGAACGCATGCACATGGATCAGACTAGCGTTTCTCATTTGAATTTGAACATAAATTTGGTATGCTATTGGTCTTGAGGGTGAAGGTAAAGAAAAGCCTCTTATTCAGCCTTACCCTAGCTATTACATTCATTCACCCTTTTGTAGCTTCAAAGTATTTGGTTTCATTAGACCAATGGTACAAAAAATGAATGTAAGTTTCAGCTTTATAAACTATTAAAGTTTATTCTATACAATATATGTTATATAAGTATGACAGAAATGCAGTGATACAATTACAAATATCAACCAACATGAGAAATACTTAGTCATAGTATTCAATTTGATTGTAAGCAGGAAACATTTGCTTCGGTGTTGAAGCATTCTTTTATTTCAAATATGCTTGTTATTTCAAGGAGAAATAGTTACATTCGTGACAACACCTACACCTGATCCGTACCATGATATCCAAAATGAGATATAGAGTAGATGGCCAGGAACAGTTGCGAATGATTGATACAACCAATTTAGATGACCAGCTGTGCCATCATTGTAACAGTAGTAACCACTATGCACTGCAGAAGCTGCACTTTTAACAGAGTACCCTCCCGTCCAGTCCGCTACAAATAAAATATTTGTTTTATCTTTCAAAAATTGGTTCACTTACGGGACAGAGTTCCACTTTCGAAACCGCCATTGAGCAGCAAATCGGTAGTCCCATCACGCACAAATACATCATCGATCAATGTAAATGATGGATCATTCTGTATGCCAAATGCAATTGTCGTATTTATACCTTGAACAGAATATAACCATCTTACACGGTACCATCGTGACATGTTCGAGGGATTATTAACCCTAAGTAGAGGTTGTCCTGGATCCAAAGTGCCGATACCACTCGGATAATTGTATCTAATTGTGGTCGTACCTAAGTGATCACATTTTGCATATATCACAAACTAGGTAAGATTAATAACGTAGCAAATTACTTAACCCTAGGGGTGATAAATTATTCTTATCGAAAAAGTAACAATAACAAAAAGAGTTACGGTTATGAAAAACAGATCAATAACACATAAGTCTATTTTTCTGAAAAATCCGAGGATGGAAGCGTAAATCTGGTTCTCTCGCGCCTTTCAGCATCATAGCACCTTTTCAGCACTTCGTCACACCATTTAATGTTGAAGTACAGTGATAGATCCATGGAATAAGTGAAGTCACTAATGAGCATGGATGGAGATTGAACTATCCAGGTTCAAGACCTGGCTCATTTCCAAAGTCTCTGAAACTTTCGGAAAACCTAAAAAATCCTGTGAAATTCTCAACCTACCTTGAATATCTCAAAAAAACACAGCAAAATCTTGTCAATCTCTTGGAACCCTGTAAGTGTCTGATAGCCAAAGCAAACCTTTGAGAACCCACGAAAACTCTTCCCAAAGGTTTTCATGATTTTCCAGGCGCTCGCAAGCGGTTTTATGGCTACCGAAAAATTCTTATGAACTGTCAAGGATTGCCATAGGTTCTGAGGAGTTTCCAGATGTTATCATGGATTCTGAGAGTTTCCATGTTGTCCAAGATTTTCTCAGAGTATCCATAGGTTCTCAAAGGTTTTCTTTGGCTATCAAAGGCTTGCGGAGGTTCCAAGAGATTGCTGAGAGTTTACTGTATTATTTTAAGATATTCAAGGTAGGGTGAGAACTTCACAAGATTCCCGAAAGTTTTGAAAACTGTGGAAATGAGCCAGGTCTCGAACCTGTGAAGTTCGATCTCGATGTATGCTCACTAGCGACTTCACTTATTCCATGGATCTATCACTGCACTTCAACATTAAATGGTGTGACGAAGTGCTGAAAAGGTGCTGTAATGCTAAGGAGCGCAGGGGAACCAGATTTACGCTTCCATCCTCGAGTTTTTCTGAAAAAAGACTTATTTGTTATGGACCTGTTATTAATAAAAATACTTGTTTTTGTTATTGTTATTTTTACAATACCAATAACTTATCATCTGTACTTAACCCTTCTCTCAATTGCTGAAACTTCTATGGAAGTTCTCACAAATCATGGAAGTCCTTCCAAATCGACAAGAGTCTATTCGCTCCAAATCGTTATGCATTCTACTACGCTTCAGATGTATGTCGCATGGTTATGCCAAAATATTGCACACACGCTCTTACTTATAGTTGTGCCAATCGAACTATTGTATGGTGCATCTGAAAAGAAAACAAGAAATACTTCGACAAACATGTATTTGAATTAATTGAGAAAAATTACAAAGTAACCCATTAAATAGCAGCGTCTTGGATAAGGGATACTTTTTTCAAAGTTCTTCATTTTCGAATAACTCATGAATGCGAAATGATATCGAAGAACAATTTTCTCTATGACGTGGAAAAGATTTCGGTACATACATCTACATAAGTTATAAACCTAATGAGATTATTGGAGCCGTAAGCCTGATGTTTTTGGGACACCACCACTATTTTACAAGTGAGGAGAGCGAATGATATCCTTTTTCGGTCTCCGAAATACTACAGTTTGCCGTATAGAAATCAAGTTAGGAGTAACTCCTAGTGATATTCTAAAGGTTGAGTTTACTACAGCTCTCCATCGAATTCTAGTCCGCACCTTTACTCCCTTATGGATATGACCAAAGTACTTCTTTAGTATCCATTTTGAGGGTATCAGTTATGATCTCTCTCTGAAAGATGTTTGTTCTAAGACCGATAATTGGTTCAGCAAAGGATAATTGTTGTCAATCGGGGATGCTAATCTGTCAATGCATTTGCTCAAAGTCAAGTTTTCAGGACTGACACGTTGGAAAATAAAGACCGCACGTGCTCAGGTATTTTTTCAAGCTAATTGAGAACATAATGCACAATATAGTCATTCCTTTAAGCAATATTATTGTTTCTAGGGTCAATTCATAAACAGAATATGTTTCTAAAAGTCGGCTTTTTGGTATATTAACTTAAACGCAATTGACACTTATGCATTTGCTCCTAAACTAAAACTGACCTCTTGTCGACTGGGTGGTAGTGTGCGTTGTTGTTGTTGTAACTATTGTAGTTGTGGCTAAAGAAAATTTTTGCATAACATAAATCAAGGAGATGATGTGATTATTTGCTGTATTCAATCCAAAACGAAAACTATTTATGATACATTTTCCACCAGCAAACAATGTAAATATGGAATATATGTGCAACGCTTTTACATCGTATATGATTCGAAATACGTGATAAAACAAGACTTTCCACTTTAAACTTAGACTAATGCTTTAATTACCTTAATCCGACCACTTTTAGTTTTATAACGATGTAATATACTCTTTTGAACGCTCTGTGACTGTTTGCGTACTATATAGTTCGATTTGGGCTTGAAATAACAATATCGCTCAATCAGACAACTAATGAAATATATGATGTTTTTACGCGCAAAAACGTCGCATTTTTCGTCACTTGTCTACACTTTTGCTAAAAGAATGTATGCTTTTTGTTAGCTCTATCATTAAGATGACGTTACTTATAGGAACATCATAATATCGCGTGTTTGATAGCGTTGAATTGAATTCACCAAGAGCAATTAAGTATATACTGTCAAGAAACTCACGAGTCATATTATACTATCCCTTAATTTATGAACATGCCTAAATCGGTGAAAATGAGCAATTTTTATTAGCTTTTTGTTTTTGAAATAGTCTACAAATATAATATATTTGATTTCATGAAAATGAAATAGTGACTATGACGTATGCCTAAACAAACATTACAATGTCTATACAAGACTATAAACAACAATTTTGCATCATGTACAATCGTATTTTGACATTTCATATAACTCCGTATTACGATTATATACCTCTGTGGCTATATACGAAGCGAGAGGATCATGTATGGAAGAATATGAAGCAAAACGATCACAACAAAGAGAC